AATGAATCACTGACCGATGATCTGGTGACCAATGTTTCTGCTCTGTTTTTATACCTGTATTTACATCCTTCCGTGTTAAACTCTCGGACATGACACATGCTGTATATACATTGTGTCAGAAGTAATTTTGAGGTTTGAAGCTAAAAGTGGACCACTGTGTCTCCTTAAGGAACATAACTATAGCATCAAAAAATCACTTTGTACAGGTAACACAATTTCTTTCTTAATTTCTTTTTTAAACAGCAAAGGAAAGGGAGAGAAAGAGCATTCATAACATGCATGGCAAAGGCTGAAGAAGGATTAGTGCTGATCTCTGGCTGGAAGCACCAGAGTCAGAGTTAATGAGTCCGATTAGTCCCCTGTGAGTGTTCAGGGATTAGCACACTGTCCACCAAGAAGAACCCCTCTCATTTCAAGCCTGAGGAGGAGAGTGAGCAGAGAGCCTGCCTGAAAGTGGATCACAGAAAAGTAAGGATGAAAGATGAGAGACAAAGAGAGAGAAGATGGGAGAGATGTGTGAAAAGGGAAGAAATGGGTAAAATCATCACATCTATGAGTGGCTAGAAGCATTCGGAAAACATCATGGGGGCTAATGGCAACAGAAAATGCCTATTATGCAAGCAATGGTGGCTCTGTGCGTGTGTTTAGAGAAGAGAGAGCTTGATGGCATTTCTTAACTGAAACAGAGATAGGAAGGAAGTCTTTAGCATTAGAGAGAGGTGCAGCAGGTTTATCCTGGCACACTCCCTTCCGAAAAAGATAGCTCACACATGTATTTCACAATATTCCTTTGAAAATAACGCCGTCTGGGAGGTGGGTGGGGTTTACTGCAGTATTACTGCACAGCATACTGTAGTTCATTTGAACATTCAGAAGAGAAAATAGAAGACAGTTAGCTGCAGAGCATGAGAGATACTGAGAGCAGTACCAGAAGAGAGTGTATCTGTCAGATGGTGTCAACCCTACTTCTAAAGAAAACCTGCAACAAGTCACATTCACATTTCCTGTGGAGGTTCCCCATATTTCCTGTCACGGTCGCTGTAAAGCACAGAACGAGACTATATATGTACTGAATGCGCGTGTTAATAGATCTGTGTGTGTTAGGATGAGCTACTCAAGTCAGCAGCATTCTCTTTAGCACCAGTGATGATGTATAAAAACAACAAATTTGACCACTAATGAGTCTGTTTTGTGTAACTGTAACAAAACTCAGGAGGAGTCAAACTAAACAGACCCAACACTTCTTCTTCTTCCATTGGTTCAGAGGAGAAAAGCACCTATTAGTCAGCAACCATGGCCAAAGCCTAGTCAGACAAACAGTGCACCAAAGGACACTTACTGACAATAAAGATGCCTAAATCGATGCACATTAGTTCACAAAAGCCTAAATGATCTGATTCACTTTGTCCCAGGGACTCCAAATGCATCATGATTTCTACTCTGGTAGGGACATAACAGTGTAGGCAGTTAATATTGTCTGAAAATGAAAGATTCTCTGAAATAAATGCTCCGTTTTGAACAACCCTTACTGACAGACCCCTGAAAGTACTTAAACCTCACTTTGGGAACCACTGCTTTATGCTGCCAACATGGTCAGCTGAGGCTGCATGACAAAGGAAAAAGAAACACAAAACAACTCCACCACTGGTTATTAAGAGCCTCGTCACAAAACAACGATGAGGATAGTAGACTCTAGCGTCACTCTTAACAGTACAGATCTGTTCCAGGGTTTTTTTTGTTTGTGTTTGTGTGCGTGTGCGTGTGTGTCTCTGCTGCACAACCCTCAACAGACGGCCCCTGTCCAGATCCATCAAACTGTAAAATTATTCTAATAACATGCACAATTACAACAAGCTCCCATCATGTCAGAATGAGATACATCACAACATCACAATGGATAGTTGCACACCAATGGCAAATGCCAATGTATGTGTCACAATTGAGATTACAGCTTTTCTATGAAAGGGCCTAGGCATCGCAGCAGTGCATTGATCCACTGATCCATGACCAAGAATTTAAACCCAGCCTATTGTAGTGCCGCTTTGGATCTCCATTATACACAAACAAACAAGCTCCATACCTTAAAATTATTTCCCTGTTTGCGCCCTCACTTGATCTTTAACCCTGTTGCTCAGAGACATAAACCTGTTTGCTTATACTCACTATTCAAGTACTTTTGACTTTAATATGATGAAAATGATGAAGCTCTGTCCTCATCACAGAAAAACAGCTACTGGTAACCCATAGGCATCCTCCATTTACTAGGGCAGAATTTCAAAGGGATTAGTGATGTAATCATCCAAATCATCCAAACACTCCCCACACCCATGCCATGATTGTCATCCAGTATGTATGATCCATATGGATAGAAACATGACGCTAAATGTATCAATGTGCACTGCATTATAGTGGCAGGAACCAGGGTTTACACATTCCCCCATTATTTGCAAATACAATAGTTCCCAGTGCAAACAGCAGCTATTAAACTTAAGCAAATACCTTTAATCAGCAGAACAGCAGTTTCTAGTGAAAGATGTCTACATTACAACTCCAGTTCAGGAAGAGTTACAGCTAAGGAACTGCGTAAAAAGATCATAGCTGATGTTTAATTAAGGAGTGAAAACCCCATATTGACATGAGATAAACATGACATGTTTGTAATACGTTAGAGCTGCAATGATTAGGTAATCAAGTAATCAATGAATTGATTGACAGAAAATCTATCTATTTTAATAATAAAATAATCACTTCATTAAATTTTCAAGCACAGCTTAAGCTTCTCAATGTGAGAAGTTGCTGCTTTTCTTTGCCATGTATGATAGCGATTTAAAAATCATTGGTCAATCTGCTGCTCAGACAAAAAAAGCTAATTAAAGACATCACTGTGATCTTAGAAAAATTGTAATATCATTTTTTCACATTTACAGCTCATTGATTATTACCAAAATTGGTAGATTAATAAATAATGAACACATTATAACAAAGACAGGCAGCATTTGAAGCTAATTTACTGTGTCATGGCATCCTGACATTTGTATGTAAAGATCTTTATTTATTTAGATAGATAGATAGATAGATAGATGGATAGATGGATAGATGGATAGATTTTATTTTTTATTTATTTATTTTATTTATCCCGAGGGAAATTCAATTCAAATTTATTTGCCTAATCAGAATAAAATCCATAGCTGGAAATAAGTTAATCATTTGTTTGTACGATTGTTCAACAGAATCCAGCCATTTTAGTCTCTGCTCCTTAAATTATTTCTTTTGGTTGAACTTTACATCCACACCCTGCAACAGTAATGCATGCATAAAAAATGTTTGACTGGGTTGGGTAAATAAAAACATGGGCTGACAATAAGAGGTAGACACTGACCTGAAGCACCAGTATTTCAACCAGTTCAGGACTACTCCTTCAATACAAATCAGTTCCACTGAAAATTACTGACAGTGGATTATCCAAAGTAATTTTTCCGTGTTGTGAACACCATTAACAAAATTCAATTCAAAAACAAAAAACAAAAACTAAGCAAGGAACAATTGAGATTTTTTTTTTCTAAGTGGAAGTGAACCACCCATTTAAAAAGACCATTGTGTAGGATTGGATAAAGTAGTACCCAGCAGTGTGGTTGCAGACTGCAACTCCCTCGAGTCACCATCCCTTTCCAAGCGCAAAGGAGAAACTACGGTGGCTGCAAAACACGCAAAAACAACTCTATTTAGAGCCAGGGTTAAGTTATCCATTCTAGGCTACTATAGAAACATGGTGGTTCAACATGGCAGACTCCACATAAGGCAACCCGCTGCATCTGTAAATAGAAAAGGCTCACTCTGTAACAAAAACATTACGATCCTTATTTTCAGGTTATTATACAACAAAACATACCTATGAATATTATATTCAATTTCTACCAATAGAGCCTCCTCACCTCAAGGCACTGTTCCATAGTGCAAGAAACAACACTGTGATTATTAATTGTCTATGAAGTCAAACGATGAAAGCTGCACTTGTTCAACATTAAGCCATCTGTAAAGGAACGACCTAAGTTATGTACCAGCTGCAGTAAAACAGAGACTTTATAGTATTATGGAGTTACTATTGTTCAGAGTCTCTTGTTTTATATGGTAGGTTTTTACAAAAAGGCTAAAATCACCAGTGATTCAAATGAGAGGGTACAGGCACTCCGAGCATAATGTTCTAGGAAGAGATGTGAAAAGATTAACTGTTTCAAGTCAGCATCCTAGTAGCAGCACTTATGCATACTTGCAAAAAACAAACATTTCCTGCCCTGAAAATATTTTGGTGTCAGGCTTGGCTCGAAGAACATAGTCACTGACCAGAGACAACACAAGATGACTGCTCTACTAGCCCGTCCTGCAAAAAACTCACTTAAAAAAACACTTTCACATATGTTCTTGTAAATCGGGGATAATCCACATCTAATAAGAAGACATACATTTCTGATGAATCCCAAATATACATAGGACAGGCTAGTCACAAAGTGTCAGGATCATCTTAAGGAGGGAAATAACACATTTACCGAGTGATTTCTAGATATATGATGAGATGCAATACATTGAACTCTGAAGTTAAATACCGGGCAGCTCAATTCAAGCAATGAGCAATAGCAAGTAGCCTCATTGGCTAACTGTTAAGTTAGAGTAAAGCTAGCTCAAGTAACCCGAAATGCACCAAACTCAACATCAATACTGTAGATGACATTAACAGCCAGGTAACAACACGGCGTGAAAATACAGAGGGGGAAAAAATCGAAAATTTAACCTCCAAGCTCTGGTTAAATGTCCACCTTTGATATAATCTTCGGCCCAAATCGAAAGCCTTAAACTTTTGGGCAAGGAAGTCCGTCTTTGAACTGTCTTTGTTTTGAGCAACAATTAACCTCCTTCAGCGGTGTGCCAGCTGCCGCGAGGTTTTCAGGTGGTCAAGTTTCACCAGGTGCCATTATTTTCTATTAAACAAAGTTGCAGCGTCTTACCTGACACATTTCAATACCGTCTCACGTAGATAAATGTACACAGACGACCTGTGGATAGGTGCAGGCTGTGAGCGCGTGTCGTGGTCCCCGTGCTCTTCTCCCAACTGTCAGTCCGCGCGCTGCTCCGAACGAGGACGCTCCTCCTCCATCTCTGTCAAACCACCTACCCACGCTCTCAGGCACGGGCTTTATTTCACTGTAACGCAACTTTCCTTATCAAATAACGTCACGGTACGTGGACTTTACAGTGAATCATCAACACTCAGACTGAGATAACAACTGTATTTGTTTTTTTAAACGTTTCAGATGAGTACAGTTGGGTTTAAAGCCTTCCTGCAGTGAAGAGAGATGGTCAGTGGACATTCAGATGGCACGGCTAACTTTATTCACCTTTCTCCTCGTCAGTCTACCGACAGACCAGCGCTTATATACTGCATTTAAACCACAACTGTAGCGCTGAGGAATGAGGGAGGGCAAGAAACTGTACTTTCAACTTTCCAACACCAACAAACAGGCTGCAGGTTGTAGCATGGACTTACCAAAATGTGCTTCACTGTCTTAACACAGAAGATTGCTCTACAGTGAGCGTGACATCTTGTAGCTGCAGTGGTCATTGTAGAGTGATGATAGATAATGTAAGGTGGGCGTTATTGCTGGCTCCTTATTAGTTTTACTCTGGGTGATTCTTGTCACATTTGGGAGAGAGACAATAAGGGGGTTGTGGTGTGCTTTGGTGTGATGCTCTCCCTCCAGCAAGCACTCAGCTCAACAGGTTTTCTATGTGCAGCTGCTCATTCAGTTGAAATATCAGGATATCATCAGTCCATCACAAAAACAACGCAGAGATAAACCCTCCAAATGCAATATATAAGCCCAAACTCTGTGGATTCAGACTTGGAGTGATGACTCCATCTACAGGTTAGTTGTTGTACTGCAATGACAGAAGGGGGGTCGACATATTGAAGTGTGTGTTGCTGTGATAGTTCATAAAATAAAATAAAAATCTTCTCCAATCCCCAATTAAACAATAACGGTGGCATTTCTTCATAAATAAACACACACACACACACACACACACACACCCAGAGGACACCTCAGCTCAGTTGTACAGGCCAGATGTGTGCACAGTGACAGTAAGTCAGTAGTGCACAGTGCAAATACTGTTGAAACAAATATGATTAAAGTAACAGGTTGCATACATGAGTTGTTTCTGTCACAGAGATTCTGATGCTATGTGTCTGGTGTCAATGCTTAATCTCTATTTGGGCTTCCTGTTCAGAACTTCTGTCTGATAGTTGCCATAGTGTATCTTCTTATCACAATGATGGGAACAAACCACATGACAAATGCAGTTGGGCTGGGCAAGTGCGACATCATTTTAGTCTGTATGTACTGAGCCAGAGCGTAAAGAGCAGTTCTTCACAGTTCATCAACTCATTCAAGGATTTAAGGTTATTTCATTCTTATTTTACAACACAGGGTTGCATAATGACATTCAGCTCATAGTTCCCTTTATGCTACTCTTGAAACAAAAAATATATAAATACAAAATTCATTCATAAGTAATAAAAAATCACCTGAAGGTCAGAATCATGTTTTCATTACCTTGGATTGAGCTGTTTTTATCTACAGAGGGAGCAGGTACAACATGTCATATGGCAATCTATCTAATTGTTGTTGAGATATTTCAGTCTAGACCAAACATGTAGACCAAGCAACGCTGCCATCCTCAAAGGGGTCCCGTCCCATCTTACACACCTACAGATACACAATTCATGAACGTGTCATGATGGGTTCTTTGTTGTGATATCTTCAAAGTGAAAATGTTTTTCCGAAGGACTTTTGACTGACAAGAAATGTTAATAATCATATCACACAGAGGCTCTGGCTTACAGGTGCCCTTGACACTGTGAGGCCCTTGGCCTGTGCCCAGCAGGTCCGGGTGTTGATGAGTATGTAACAGTTAAAAATGTTCAGGTTAAATCCTGCTAAATGGGATAACTATGCCACCTGCTGGTTTAAATGTATACCTGCATAGAAAAAAGTTAGTAATGGCAAAGGATTGTTAGGCTAATGGAGAGCCACCCACAATTCTGAGATTCCCCTACTAGAGTTAGAGCAATGTTTTTCATATCTCTAAGGTCTCCCACATAAGAAATGGATTCTTGTATTTAAAAAATGGACTGCAAAAGCTGTAAAACTGATAGATATTGTGGCACACCACATAAATGAAACACAAGAAAGCCAGGCCAAATGGCAGATCATACACCTGAACTCATGTAAATTCATAATGCAAGCTCTGATTGGTCCCAAATATGGCGTGAGAGTGGGCAGTGGGTTCTTCTACATGTCTGAGAAAGCAGAATGTGAATATCATTCCCTGTTTTGTTTTGTTTTTTCTTGCTTTTTCCATCTTCTGTATGAAAAGTCTCTCAGCCAACTTATCCTCTATGACACAAAGGGGCATGAACAAAACTCAGTGCACATCAATCCCTCTGAAAGGCACTGGAATTCTCTGTGGTCACTGCAGGTCCCATCACTGCAATATAAGTGTGTGATGTGTCTGTGCTCTGGCAGAGCAGCTGATTACTAGTACTGGTAAAAAAAAAAAAAAAAAAATAAAAAAACTTGCAACATCCTCTTCATTCCCCCTCACTCAAAGCATAAAGTTTGGAGTCAAAATTATTTCATAATTTTAATGACGTTTACTTATTTTGTCACATATCAGTATATATACAGGGCCACTCTTGCTCCTGGGCCGGGTGAATAGACCGGCAGTCGATAGCTACAGTACTTTTGTTTGTGTTCTGACTCAATACATTTTGAGGATGTACTGAGATGGTGTTGTACTGGACTGTGCTTTATAATAATAATAATAATAATAATAATAATAATAATAATAATAATAATAATAATAATAAAATTCATATAACATCGTTCAGAGCACTTATAAAGTGCTTTACAACACACAGAACACATTACAAAACAATATTGTGCAACTTCTGTAAAAAAAAAAAAAAAAAGAGAAAAAAAAGCCCAACAAAAGTAATTTCACATTTTATATATTCCAATAATTGTATTGGCTTTTTTAAAATGCACAAACATACACTGCATATGCATCCTCTCCCCAAACCGCCCTGATCGATTGACTGAGACCCATCCAACCATTCGGAGGGACTAACGGGAAGGAAGAGGAGGGAGCGAGATTCATGCCAATAAGTACGTTTTTAAACGTATGTGCATGTAACACAGGCTACTTGCCTTACACACCTCTGTTATTTAAGACATACAAACACATAGTCTGCACAGTATTCCATATTAACGCTGTTATACGTATTATTATACTTATTATAGCTATACAGTACAGCTTGTAAAATCCAAGCTCCTGCAGGCTCTGTCTGTGGTCCGTATAGCCTTCTATAACCATAATACAATATTGTGTAATATATAGCTATTGCACATATAGTTATAGGCTTCATACTTTAACTTACGACCGCTGGATTTGGAACACAGCGCTGCGTACGTACTTTCCAAACGGACGTGCTGTCAGAGACTTTGTCTTCGATCCCCTCGATTGAAATTATTTGAAAATTTCCCGCCACTAGCATTTTAAAAAGAAAACGTTTAAAAAAAAAAAGAAAAAATATTTTTTTAAACAAATCACTCCTGACGTCATTTACGCGGTCATTTCCATTCTAGAACGCTATGACGCAGCTGTCCTTTGATGGGACATCAAAGCCATTAGAAGCAGTGAGGGGATTTAAGGACCCTCTGAACGGATACACAAGGATTCTTAGTTATCAGTAGATATACTATCAGCTATATTCAACTCCCATTAATACGCAGATATGCCCATTTTAATGTTAGGTCTAGTTGTGGTTCCTTGGATCACCAAGACTGCAGGTCGCCTCATCAGATCTGGACTACACCCCAGTTCACCTGAGGTTAACCCAGCAGAACCTGTGCTCCATGAATCACCTCTGGACGTACCAGCAGCTGATACAGACAGGAGGAACAGTAATGTCACTTTGCCATGTGAGGATAATGGCACAGGTTTGGACTGTCTGAGTGATGACACTCAGCTAAAGAGAGAAGAGCAGGATAGCACCTCTGCATGCACTGGCCCTGTGATTCACAGAGGCCATTCTGACAGCCAGGGGCTTGAGCTTCCTCCTCGGTCTCCCACCATGTCCCTATATATGTGCCCCGATGTCTCTGGTCCAGCGATTGAGAAAGCCTGGGAGAATATCGAAACATTTGACCCAGAGACACCACGGCCTGCTGGCAGACGGTCGGAAGCGATTGCAGCAGTTTTCTCCACAGCTCAGGCAAAAGCTCCTGCAGTTTATTCCATGACCAAAGTTACAACCTTGACATGTATCGTCAGGCTCAGAGAAATAAGCCTGATGTTTTTGTCCGTTTCTCGGCAAAGAATTGTGGCTTTTTTCTCCGTGGCTGGACGAACAACTTTAACTTTTTTAAGCAGGGCCCGAGCAAAGATTGCAGCTCGTCTTTCCACAGCTGAAGCTGTTCAGAGGGCCCATTTCTCAGACCCGGAGCAACCAGCACTTGTGGTTCTGTGTGATTGGATCATCATAGCTTCATACATCCTCTACAGGTATGTTGGAATTGCTTTGTCCCGGATCCAAAGACGCATGGAACTACTACTGGCCCAGGCCCGAGCGAGAAATGAGGCTGTTTTGTTCAGGACCAGGGCAAGGATTGAAGCTATTCATGACTCAGTCCATGGTGCGTGGGTTGCTTCAGTTGCAAACATTGAAGTGATCTACAGGGAGTTTGACCTGCACTCTCTGCTTTACACTTTGGGCTATACTGTCATTGAAGCTCCTCATACTTTCTCCAGGTATGCTGCAGCTGTTTTTTCCAGGCCCCGAAGAAGAATGGCACCGGTGTTTTCCAGAGCCCGAGCAAGAACTGCAGCTGTGCTTTCCAGAGCACAGGAAAGGTTCCCACCTTTGTATGACAGGCTCTCAGCAGGAATTGCAGCTATGTTTCCATGGCTTGAATAATTTTCAGGCCCACCACTGATGTCAGTCTACCACCATGCCACTGTTAGGGAATTCCCTATACTTGCAGGCCTGGAGTAACAGAAAGAAGAGGTGTAATATGGTGGAACGGTAGCTCAGTAATTCTAGT